AGTCCGAAGTATGGAAGCCATTTAGAAATCCTTTCAAGTGGAGAAGATAATGCAATGGAGGTACCAAGTCATTATGCTAGAAGACTAAACAGTGATCTCGCTAGGAATCAATTCCCTGTGGACTTGATGGGTAGGTCGAGCTTGGTGCGGTCTTCTATAAGGTGTTTTCTTTTCGAGGTGAGTACCGACGTAATCCCTTTTATGCCTTTCGTTGAAATTTTGTAGCAGGACCCCACTTATCTCAATGCTGCTCCCCAACCAATGTTAATAATGTTTGAAAACTGATGCAGGTGGTGTTAAATTCTACCCTATGGATGAAGATACGGCTGCAGCAACGAAGACATTGTGGATTTATAAAACCAGCAAGACCGCAGATCTTCTTTTGGAGGGTAATCAAATTGATTTCTTCTCGTGACGACTACCGACATCCCGCAAGATATATGCTCTTGTAATCTGTTATAACCCCTCCTTTAGCATGTTATATGTTGGTTTGCAGCCGACGACCAAGACCCGTTGAAGAAATTGTTGGCAAAAGCGCGTGACTTTGCCGTTCCGAAGTATGAAGTCCCTTTGGAAATTCCTTCAAGCGGACAAAACAAAGTGTTGCAAAAGGAGACAGAAGACTAAAACGGTGGTCTTGTACAAGAAGTTTTCCTTTGTTGGCGAGATAAACAAATGAACGAGCTCCTTGTGTTGTTATCTTCCTTTTAAAACTTGTGTATTAGTTTGGTAGCAAAAACTTGATTCCTAAATACGTAATTTAACTTTTGTATTGTAATAATATGAATTTAGCCTTAGATGTTTGAAACATGGATGTGTATCTTCAATTTGAATTAATTTGCCTGAGACATGGTATCGTGTAAGATCCAAAACTGGTGCGAATCACATGTAGAATCAATCAAAAATAAATTCTCTAAGACGTGCTCCTCAATGGTAACATCACTTTAAGAAACAAGCTTCTTAATGTGAGTGCAACATGTTTTAAATAATCTTGAAAATTCTCAGGAAGTGAATTTGAGATTAATATATGGAATCTTGAGTTTGGCTCCATAATTCTTGAAAACAGACTTTCATAGCGATATGTGAAATCCTTATCGTAAATCTGGAATTTGATTTTTTAACCTCTGAGATTGCACTTTGAATCTTAACCTGAACTCATACTTTGCATTCTTCTTTTGAATCCGTCTTGTAATCGCAATGTTTCGTATCCTGAATTTGGTTTGTGAATGACTTTTGAACACCCTCAACTCGGAAATTAAACTCATGATCTTTAAAACTTAACCGTGAACTCACGACTTCCATTTTTTTGCACCATGACTGATACCTCGCACTTCCACAGTAGAAATGGAGCCCATATTAGGATCAACTGGCCATGCCTTCAGATGCTCGACTATAAGAATGAATACTATGTCTACCTGAAATTATCACACTTGCACATTATTTCCATCCTTTCACTCTCACTCATTCTATTCTCTTCATTTACCACCGTATTCACTACAACATTTCATTTCTGTGGATATTACTCTTTTTTTCATCCTGAAATTTGTACCTGACTTGATAAGTTTCAGTGAGCATTAATTCGTTTTCTCTACAAAACTTTCTTAAAACTTCATGATATTAATATTTAATCACTAGTTAAGGTCTTAAGGCCCTAATTTTATGTTTATCGTTGTTACTTTTTTATTTGGTATTGTGAATTTTTGGGAAATTGAAGTATTTCTTAAGAAGGATCCCAACAATGTTGTTAAGATCGCGATCCAGATCGTGAAATCGCACGACTTTGCGATCTCAATCACCTCCACCGATCTGGATCGCAAACAAAATTGTTTTGGTGCGAAAATCACGGCAAAATCGTTTTGGTGCGAAAATCACGGCAAAATAAACGGATTTGGAAATCTGAAAGTAAAAGCTCACATATTTTACCCGGGTCAAATGCGACCCGGTTTACAATTTGTGGGTTATAAATACGCAAATACCTATTTTTTTCAATAGCTCTGAATCCTAATTGTTAGTCGCGACGATATAATCTTGAAACTTCCGAAATTTCACAACCGAAGAAGAAGACTTGAAGCTTCCAAAATTTCACAACCGGAGAAGAAGACGTAAGCTTCTGTTTTCGTTTCTGCACTCTGTATTTGTTTTCAGTTTCACACTCTGTTTTCGTTGTTGCTGCGTTTTCATCTTGCTGACTTGCTGCGTTTCTGCATTTCTGCGTTTTCATCTTGCTGACTTGCTGCGTTTCTGCGTTTCTGCGTTTTCATCTTCATCTTTCTGTTGTAGGCTTGTAGCATTATTTATTTATTGGTCTTTAGTAAGTGATGTAAATGTGATAATTCATTATTGCTTTTCACTTTCCACTAATTTATATTTTAATATTATTTATTTATTTTCATTATCAGTCTTTAGTGTTTTCCAAGTGATGTGAAATTGTGAATCGTGATAATTCATGTAGACATGTAGTAGCCTAGTAGCTGTAGCAGTCTACTATAGAGTCAGATACTGAAAAATCAGAATAGCTTATTTAATAATAATATTAATAATATAAAATATGTATATTGTATAGTACAAAATTGGAAGAGGATTCTGTTATCTCTTTAGCCTCAGTAATTATCTCTTTACTAGAGAATTGGAATTATACATATGTTATCTCTTTAGCCTTAGTAAATTAGTAATTATCTCTTTACAACAGAATTGGAATCATACATATTTTAGTACATATTTTAGTAATTATCTCTTTAACCTAAAATTATAATATTATACATATTAATAATATTAATAATATTTTAGTACATATCTCTTTAGCCTAAAATTATAATATTATAATTTATAAATATTTTAGTACAGAATTGGAATGGAAAGAGCATATTCGTTGTAGCAATGTAGCCTACAAATATTTTACAATTTTATGAGGATAATTTATTTATTTACACTCTTTTTTTTCCACTCTTTCTTTTGCTTTTTATTTTATTTTATATTACTATATGTTTTAATTTTCAAAAAATGTTTGTATTTTTTAATCTTTTATATCAAAATTATTTATCATAATTTTTTAATGAGACAGATGACTGGTGGTACTGGTAGTAGTATGTCACTTCCTCCTCCAATAAGTTCAAGTATTAGAAATGTGAGAAATAAGAAAGTTGCAAAAAATGCTCCTGGTCAAAGACAAGATGTGGCATGGGAACATGAAACTCCTGTAAACGATGGATCAAGAAATATCAAGTGCAACTATTGTCATAGTGAGTATAGCGGCGATGCTTTTCGATTTAAGCATCATTTAGCAGGGACAAATAGTAATGTCGAATCCTGTGTATCTGTTCCAGATGAAGTTCGTAAACAAATATGGACTATTGTTCATAGATTACAAAGCAAACTCATCAAGAAGAGAACTCTAAGTGAAGATATAGAAGTGGTTGATGTGGAAGATGGTAAAAGAAAAAAAGTTGAATCTTCAGGTCTTGCAAATATTTTCAAGAGGGGGATAACTTCTCAATCAACTATCAATGATGCTTTTAAAAAAAAAGTGAAGGAGGACACTGACTTACAAGTTGCAACTTATTTTTACAACAATGTTATCTCCTTTAATGTTGTAAAAGATGAAGAATTTATAAAGATGTGTGAAATGATTGCCCAATATGGTAAAGGATATAAGCCACCATCTTACCATGACATTCGAGGTAAACATTTAAAAAAAAGTTGAGTCTATAAATAACATATTCGTGGAGCATAAAGCTGCGTGGAAAAAGTTTGGATGTACAATAATGACAGATGGATGGACTGACCAAAAGAGGAGGACTATCATAAACTTTTTAGTCAATAGTCCTATGGGTACTTTCTTTTTAAAATCAATTGATGCATATGGCATTTCAAAGACAACTAATAAAGTTTTCAAAATGATGGATGATATTGTTGAGGAAGTGGGGGAAGAAAATGTTGTCCAAATTGTAACAGATAATGCTGCAAATTACAAGTTGGCTGGACAAATGTTGATGGATAAAAGGAATAAGCTTTATTGGACACCTTGTGCAGCTCATTGCATTGATCTAATGTTAGAGGATTTTGAGAGCAAGATACCTATGCATAAGGAAATTATTTCTTCGGGTAAAAAGATCACAACTTACATTTATGCTAGGACCGGTCTTATAACTTTGTTACATCATTACACTGAAGGAGGTGAGTTGATAAGACCTGACATCACTCGCTTTGCGACCTCATATTTATGTTTGGGTTGCTTGAATGACAAGAGGGGAGGGTTGTATAGGATGTTCACTTCCAAGCAATGGAAGGATAGTCAATTTTCCAAGACAAATGATGGAAAAATTGTTGAAAATATAGTCACAAACAAGGAATGTTGGAAGAGTTTGATTATTTATCTTAAGGGTGCTTTTCCATTACTTAAAGTCTTGCGTATGGTGGATTCTGATGAGAAGGCAGCCATGGGCTATATCTATGAAGCAATAGATCAGGCAAAAGAGGAAATACAAATTAGCTATAATAATAAGAAAAAAGGTATAATTTTATAAAATATCTTTGATTGATTTATTTGATATAAAAAATATATTAGTATTTATCTATGAACTAATTTAATCTTTTCTTTCTTAAGCTACCAACCTTTATGGAAAATTATAGATAATAGATGGGACAAACAATTGCATAGGCCTTTGCATGCTGCTGGCTATTATCTTAATCCAATGATGCATTACAAACCTAATTTGAAAGCAGATAATGAAGTGAAAGAAGGAATGTATGCATGTTTAGAAAGGATGATGGGAGGAGACATGGATATGGTGAATAAAATTGATGGTCAACTTGAGAATTTTAAGAGTAAAAAAGGGTTCTTTGGAAGTGAAATAGCTCAACATGGACTAGAAAACAAGACACCGACTCAATGGTGGGAATCTTACGACGATGCACATCCAGAATTGCAAAACTTTGCTATTCGTGTGTTGAGTTTGACATGCAGTTCTTCTGGCTGTGAGAGAAATTGGAGTGCTTTTGAGATGGTATGTTTTCAAATTTATTATATATACTTTTTATAGTTACTATATGTTATACATTTTGATTTAATATTTCCTCTTTTTAGGTTCATACGAAAAAAAGAAATCGGTTGAAACAAAAGACTATGAATGATCTTCTGTATGTGATGGTAAATACAAGATTGACCAAGAATAAGGCTGAAAGAAAAAAGCGAGATCTAACAATTGATGATTTCCAAGATGATGACGATTGGTGGTATGTTGCTGAGGAAGAAAATGTAGGTGGTAATCACGTAAACGTGGCTGATTTAGATGAAGATTTGATGCAAACTGCTGGTGCTAAATCAACTGCACATGTAGATGAATTTGATGTCCTTGAAATTATAGAAAGTGACAATGAAGAAGGAAATACAAATGAAGGTGATGGAGAAGATGATAATGATAATGATTATGATGGAGAAAATGATGAGATTAATGAAGATGAAGAAGTTGACACTATGGGAAGAAATCTAAATTATCGACGCATTTGTGATTTGTACTAGCCTCTATCATTTGAGTATTTTATTTTATGAACTTTGTTATTTTAAGATAAAATTTGAGATTTTTAATTTTATGGTTAAAATTTTAGACTTGATGGTTTTATATTTAATATAGAAACTTATGCACTATTTAAAATATATAATATAAAATATTTGAAGTATTATTTTTTTAGTAAAATCTTACGATTTTGCTTACGATTTTATATTTTGTGATCTTTTTATTCTTTTTCGATCTTATAAAATTAATTGTGTAAGATCTTTCGATTTTAATTACGATTTTATATTTTACGATTTTAATGTCTCCACTCGTTTTCATGTAAGATCTCGATTCTGACAACATTGGATCCCAAAGCTTGGAAGCTTAATTCCATTTATGGGGCTTATAGTATTTTGTACTCAGTTCGTAAGTTAAACTTGATTGCTCAATTTTTATATTTGATGTGTGTGATGACATATGTAGAACTCATTATAAATATATATAAGGATGACACAATAATGTGGGTTGTATTAGAGACTACTGATTTCAAGGGGGGCAGCAGTAATACAAATATGGATGCATGAGTATGTTGAACATGGATTTGTTGTTTAAACATTAGCATACATACATTGTAAATCTTCCTTTTTCCATTATTTTTGTCATATTTCTTTAATTATATTAGGTGTAATTAAGGTCTAAATTCTTGATTTATTACTTCATTAATGTTCTTTATTATGTGATTTTTTTCTTTCTCTGATAACAAGACAATTGCATGGATTGATGGTAAATTGAACTACTACATAGTATTATGCCACTTCCCATGACTAACAGTGAGCTAACTTTGGTAAAATATTTATCTATATATAATGTGGGATACTTGTGCATTTGATGTGTGTCTAGGTTATGATTATATCCTGCTGAAAAACATCTTCTTATGAGCCATGCATTGGTGCCTTTCTTGAAACAAGTAAGAAGGGTGTTTGATGATGTAAGTTTACACTCATTATTGTTTCTTTGGGTTTTTGTTGTTTGAAGCATTTGGAATTCCTAACTGGGAGTCAAAAGATACTGATCAAGAAATTTTAAAATGAAAAGTGTTTATTTAAACTTATAATATTTAATATTTTGATAACATTACTTTTTTATATTGATATTAGTGAAGAAACTTTTGAGAAGAAAGATATCATGTTTCCAAATTTTCATGTTCAAAATTATTTCTTACCTTTTTCTTCAAGAAAATAATTTTCTTGTAGAACTTTTGTTCTTACTCTAATTTCATAAATATCGTGTTGCATTTTCTTTTGAACCTTTATAATGTACTCGTGTAATTGTTTTACTTTGCAAGTTTTGCTTCTCTTTTATTCTTCTATGAAGATTCTACTCCATGTGAAGTGATAATATGACAGTGTGGCTATATAGTTGTGGCAATATGTTTTTGCGTGCGTAGAAATTATTATTTTTTTTTTCTTCTCTACAATTCATAGATGTCCTTTATGCTAAACTCATAGTCGAGGTATGAAATTGTAGTATAACTTAATCTTTAGTTTTGATTAGTGTTGAATATCTTATTCTCTCATTCAATTTATTCTATGCAGAAAACAACAATTAAGAATATGAATGTAGAAACATCAACATAATTTCTTTTTTAAATCATATTTTTTTAATATTGTTGCCAAGATATGTCAACACATTTTTTATTGTTTAGTCTGAGCCTTATTTCTTGAGTGTGTAGTTTGTTTATTCTCGAATTTATTCTTTACATACTAGTTAAATTGTGGTTTCATAGAAACAGAAATAGAGAAAACAAATGAATATAGACTGAGAATGGACTTCGTTGAGTGTGTTTGTTTGGTTATTCTTGAATTTTGTCTGATGATGATGACTAGGATGTTGTTGTAAAACTGGTGGTAAAAGCAGGTTATCCAAAGGTTCAACTTATAGCGATGAATCAATGGTACTGATTATGACATGGTCTAGAGTTTATTAAGGTAAGCTTTCCTTTGTATAAAATTACACATCAATATCTCTAGAAGAATTATGCTTTCGCTAGGCATGACATAATTGTATAATGTCATTGTGTAGACATTACTAAAAGAAGCACTGTAAATATCGTTGTGTAGACATTACTCAAAAGCATCCATAGGAATTCGGATATAGTTAATTTTTCTACTTTAAGGTGTAGAGAGTTAGGGACAAAAGTGGGTTTGTTTGTTTTCTTATTTTGTGTAGTGATTAGTGGTTTGTTTCTCTTATCTATGTGTTGGCTTGTCTTCAGCATTTCTACTTTCATTTGGCAAGTTACGAGTACTCAGTTTATAAAATTATTTTATGTTAATTGTATCCTATCTTATATGATCAATTTTGATCGATTTGTTCTTTCAGACTAAAAAATGAATTGCAAGCTGTGAATCTATGGTGGCACAAATGACAACGCAAGAACCAATGTTCGTTAAGGTCGATTTGTTGAAACAGGGAACAAATTGACACACTCTGATGGACAGTGAAGGTTGTGATTGTTGCCAACTGTGGTGGTGTGGTGGTGTCGTATTTCGAAAAATCATCGAGAACACGACCCTCGCGCGAAAGGCGCAGTAATGCAGTTCGACAGATTCGCCACTGAACTTTATTTATCCCAAAAAGATGGAAAAAGAAAATATTGAGAAAACCTTTAAGGGACAAACAATAACACGGTCGTCGCAACCACGTTCTGGGTTCAGGAGTCGGTTACGCAAGGGGAAGATAATAACACCCCTTACGTATGTTGTACTCAACGGTGTTGAGGTGAGAATCGTGATACCAAGCTATTGATTAACTTGAATCTTAATTCTTAAAATTCACAACCGAACTTTGATTTTTCCAAAGGAAAGTTAAAGAAAGAAAACACCTTTTGCGCGATGTAACAACAACGCTAAGAGATCAGGGATCGGGGGTTGGTTATGCCTAAGGTATGTATTTCACATCCTAAACAGCTCTAGTACTCTATAGGAACCTTTTGTATGTTTGTATGCTAAACTTGCTAAATGTTTGCTATGGTTTGTGATAGGGGTACAAGGTTAGGTAAATACCTAAGCATAGTTTCTAAGTTTTCTCGCAAAGATATCGCATCCTCTATGTAATACCCCAAATTTTTTCCCCGAGATTATTATGTTCATTTCACTTCACTTTTGCATTGCATTTAACTAATCACTAATAGGTTTGTGTAGTTTGCTGATTTTGCAGGAAAGATCACACTAGGTGCTCTTTGACTGACGAAGGGCAAAAAGGTCATTTAGTTGCAGCCTGCTGACAATTTATGAGGCTGAGGTGTTAAGTGGAAGAGTTTAGTCATGGAGGATTTGAGCCGGGTGGTTTAAATCAGTTCAATTTGTTTGGATGAAGCTAGTCGGAAAATAAGGGTCATTTGAGTTTAATCAGACGGTTTAGATTTATCCGGATAAAGTTGCTCATTTGAATGGCCGGAAGATTTAATCGAAAGTTATGTCGGGAATGAGATTAATCGGTTAAATTGGAATAATTAGGAATTAATAGAAAAAAAAAAGGTTTCATTTCAATTTTCATTTCCTATTTTAAATTAATTTCATCAATCATGTGTCATTTTTTTTTACATTTATCATATTTCATTTTTTAAATTAATTTCATGACATTTTTTAAAATCAATCATATTTCATCTTTTTAAATTAATTTCATTGCATTTTTAAAATCAATCATATATCATATTTTAAATTAATCTCATTTTTAAATCAATCATTATTTCATTGTTTAAAGAAAAATCAATTTCATTTCTATTTCATTTTTAATGTTAGTCTCATTTCATTTCTAAATGATTTTAGTTTATTTTGAATATTGTTCCTATTTTTTTATTTTTAATTAGTTTTATTTTTCTTCAATATTATTTTCATTCTATACATTTTTATGCTAAGTTATTTTATATTTTATTTGCATAACAAAAAGATAATAATAATAATAATGTTTTTATCATATCTTAAAAATAAAGAATGTTATTGAAAATAATAATTATTCTTTACAAAATTATAAAAAATAACAAATAAATAAATTACAAAAAAAATATATATATATATACATAAAATAATTGCGTTTTTCTTAAATTTTTTCCTAAGTTCCTAATTCGATTTCTTCGTCCCGATTCCGGCTTTTTCGATCTTTCTTTCGAACCTGCAAAATGAACAAAAGCAAACAGGAAATTTAATCGGTTATTTTCGTCCCAGCACCTTCAGAGCATTGTCATCATCGGGTGCGTCGGGAGGGTAACAGATTGCTCCGAAACCAACTCCCGACTCATTTCTCGACCTCGGTAAATCCGGTACCTTCTGTTCTTATTTCAAGGCAACCGAGAGAGAGAGAGAGTGAGAGAGAGAGGGAGAGAGAAAGTAATTATCAAAAAAGCACTTATTCAAAAAGTGTTTTTCTGCCAAATAGCCCATTAACACCTTTTCCTAAAAATCCTGAGTTTCAGTTGGATCAAACGGCAAAGTCATAGCCAAAGGCCACAAGTCCACAAAAATCCACCGTAAGTATCGCAACAAAGTAAACCACGGTTCAAGCTAACAAACAGATCCATATGTGCACAAACAAAACAAATTTTCAGAAGAAGTCAAGCAAACTCATCGCCAAAAACGAAAGTACAATAATAATCTGCCGTGAAATTCACAACAGCAATCGCAAAACCAACATAAAACCGGAAACGGGTCCAGCCCATAAATCAACATATAAAAGCCATCATCATCTCAAAGCTTCAGATCCGAAAAAAAAATACCCTAAAGTGAAAGGCGGCGCAAACGGAGGTTCAGAGGATCCAAAGATCCCTCATCATCACCATCTGGCGGATTCAGATACGAATTAAGCTTCAGCATCATCCCTTCGGTACGTCGAAAGAAGTAGAGGAGAGTTGCAAAACAACCAAAGCTCACGCGATCGACGTTGCCGGTTCCACTACCGTCACCGTCCGACGGGCAACGAACCACAAGCCTTAGCTCACAACATCATCGGCGGAAGAAGTAAGACCAGA